CACAATTTAAAGAAGTTCTGGCTTGCTCTTGGTATTTCACCAAGTTTTTCTGGTTGAAGGTTCTCCAAAGTGATGATTAGTTGTGACTGTCGATCAGACAAAACAAACACTTCGACGCGGAGCCATTTTTTCACCATTTTCTGGCATTTAATAGACTAAACAACTGATTAATGCAAAAATAATCTAACAATTAGCCCGTCTGCAGCTTAGAAAATCCAATGTGCTCTTAACAATTATTAGTTTTGCTCTGAATAATTTCATCCCTGTACAACAAACATCAATTATTGCAAAATGTTCCATTTTACATGAAAGCAGAAACACGTCTAATTGCGGAAATCTTTGTTTCATTGCATTTTCGACATGATTCGGTGTGGCTTTGTGGGGCGGTGAGGCTTTAGGGGATTGCCTAACTAGTGGAATAATTTTCGCAACCTTAAAAAAAAACCACCGAACTGACAAAGACCCGGCGCTGATGACAAGACAGCCAATCAAGGCGTCCTCTGGTTGCCTTGGTGACGGCTGAGACCAGTTCATTTACAGCCCATCCTTTGTAAGAGCGCTTTAAAGCCGTAAATATGACTTGAAGTGACACTTGAACTTTGCACACATCCAACCACAGAGCAGATATTTGTCAGGGAAATTGCCCGGACCACACAAAAATGACAAAATGCCACCCAGAGCTCACCTTCCACGGCTCTGTCCTGCTTTTTTTTTTTTAAACAACTGTGTCATCCCAGCCTGTGATATTTTAATCTGTACAGAGCCACTGTCAAGACACATTAGGGGAACGGATTTGTGATTAAGTATGTAAACTGTACCCCGCTCCGACCGAGCCATTACCTCCAATTACAACGCCGCGCTCGAGCTTCTTAACAAGTCCAGTCACACCACTACAAGCCGACAGGGACACCGAGCAGAGGAACAAACACTCGACAAGCTAAGCATTTAATAACAACCTCCTCCGGTGCTGTCTCTCACAAGTGACGAAACCTGATCCTGATGCGACTCTCTGGAGGCTGTTTGTCCTTTTCTGCTGTTTGGACTGCGGGTGTCACCAGACGAGGAAGCGTCGGTCAGCGTGAGACAGCAGGTTGATGACAGATGATGGAGAAACACACTTCCCTCTCCTCACTTCTCTTCTACGGAGCTGTTTCTGGGTGTTTCAACACACACACACTCGGCGTTTTATTTTCCCCGTGTGTCTTGTCTGACCAGTATTTTTGTTATTTCTTTTGCACAAAGCTCATTTTGGTCTCCAGCTGCCACTTTCGGTTTCTGCTTTTCTCTCAGCAACCAGCATCCATTAAATAATCTATAACCTCAAGTAAATTCTCAAGGAGTCACTTAACGGTTGCTTTATTTTGATGCTTTTAAAATGAAGTTTTTGTGCTGCTTCTAAGGATTGATCAGGCATTCTCTATCGGCCCAGTCTTTTCCTTTTGTTGCTCATTGGACCCTTGGGTGACCCCAAAGCTGCTACAGCTTCTTTTCTTGTCTAAAAACACCAGAATGAGCCTGATTTCTTATACATATAGCTCGTTTGGTCAAATCTCTACACCAAATCTTAAAGTTATCAACACATCATACTACGACAGCCTTTCATTGTTGAGTAGTTGAAACCAAATTTTTGATTTGTGTATATTTTCTTTTAATTACTAAAAATATCTTTTAGTTATCAGTGTGTTACAAAAAGATGTCTGCCAATCAAGTAATTATTTTAGCTCCACATCTAGCCACAGAAAAGCTCCCAGCTTACAAAAACAAATCCATTTTCCTTTTACATTTCCAGCTCAGTCGATGTGAGTGTGCTTGGTTGTCTGTCTCTAAGTGTAGCCCTGTGATAGACTGGTGACCTGTCCAGGGTGTCCCCTGCCTTCACCCTGAGTCAGCTGGGATAGACTCCAGCCCCCCACGACCCTAGTGAGGATTAAGCGGTGTATATATGATGGATGGATGGATTTCCAGCTCATCTGCTGTAACCAGCTAACAGGTTCCTCTGTAAGTTTCACAATGACGAAAAGCCCTAACTTTCACTTCCTGCTTCCACTTGGAGGTGAAACATTTTCCCAGGCGGTCGCGTTTCATCGCTGCAGTTTGTTCGGAGATGCTTCATTACGCTCCTTCTCCGCGCTGTTGTCTGGCTGTGCTCAAAAGCTGTATAATGTCGGGAGGCGAGGACAGTGCAACGGCTCAGCGCATGATGTCAGACCACTAGATGAAATGTCTTTGTAATGAATGGCAACGCTACACCAGCGCTAAAGGCTGCACCGCCACCAATAATTACACACCGGTGCTGGACTCTGACTGTACCACACTGCATCACACTGAACAGGGGGATGACACAAACAATGTAGTTATAGTCAACCAACTGCTGCAGTTTAATTTATTCAAATAAGAGCTTTTTAGCACCAAGTCTGGACAAACGAATGCAGCAGCTACCTGATCTGTACAATGGTACAGATCATGAGGAAAACACCGGCTCCTATGTTCAGCTAGAATGAGGTTAGTGGCCTGAAGTGAGCACCATTAGGCTGCAGTCAGACTGCTACACCAAACCCCTGTTAAAATGAATACAGGTTCATCAGTATTTGCACAAGATTTTCGTAATTCTAACTCTGCACACCACAAACAACTGATATGAAATGTTACACTGGAGATGTGATTGAAGTGTGGAGTTTAACAGAAAATACGACAATAATAAAAGACATTTTGACAGCGTCTCTCTATTTTCACTGTGTCAAAGTTGGCAACTGACCGATCTGCGGTTTCGTGACCATGCGAGGCCTGTTTCTTCGTCATTTCATCACAAACGAAGGACACAAAGACTCTGATTCAACGTGTTGAATTTAAATTTGGTAGCTCATGGGAACTCTGGATGCGCAGCGCAAAAGAAGTGTCGCTGTAAGGGAGGGAGGCCATCATTCATTAGGCAGGAAAAACAAGCACAGACCAATCAACGAGCGACCAGATCAACAATTTGGTACATTCTTTAAAAGAAGGAATGCACTTGCGATCTCAGCAACGCCAACTGAACTGGAAGAGGACTCAAATGGACAGAATTCTTTCTCGAGTGAAGAAAAGCCCCTTTACAGCATCTCGCCAAAGCTGCAAATCACTGGTAACGCTCACAACCGAATTAGACATTAGTAGGAAACGTGTGAAAAGCCGCCCAGCTGTGAAACAAGAGTCTTTGAACATTTACAACCAGAAGAACTTGTGATGGCAAAGAAGAGTCCGGAGAAAGGCGAGAAAAGGGTTCACAGCAGACCCACCGTCTGGAGGCAGCGTGATGGCACGGGCACCAGCGGCTGCAACTGTGTCACCGGCGTTCATTGATGATGTAACTGCTGATGGAAGCAGAATACGGACTGAAAAGTACCAGGACAGAGCTTCACAACGCAGATGAAGAATGAGCCAAAACACAACATGAACTTAGCGTAAAGAAATGTTCCTAACTGGCCAAGTCTGTCACCTGAGCTGACTTTCACTTGCTGAAGACAAAGCTGTGCACAGACAGACCCGCAACAAGCAGCACCTGAAGGCAGCAGCAGTGAAGGCTTAGTAAAGCATCTCACGGGAGGGAAACCATTCTTTGTTCATGTCCAGACTTCAGGCACTTATTGACTACACCGGATTTGCATCCAAGTATTGACTCCTGACGTTTATAACGACGCCACTTTGCGCACTTAACTTTGGAACCTGTGTAAATGGAGGGACTGTGCAACCACCAGAATCAGAACAAGTTTTGTTCCAAAGTGGGCCGAAAGGTTAAACACTGACGAGTAAAATGAGAAAAAAAAATTTAAGTGTTGTAAGTCAATTTAACAGTAAGTGTTACAAGGCAAATAAGAAGCATTACAAGTCCAATAAAAAGCAAGTTTGGCAAATTAAAGCTATTATAAAGTCATAAAAAATGCCCACAGTGGTATTTAAGTGAGACAGCTGTGCAGGAATGTGTAAATTATAGACAAATTATTCACCTGGGAATGTGAGCAACGCCCGCCAATTACTAAGGGGTGCATTTTATAAACAGTTAATGCCTTTTTTTTTTTTTTAACCCTTGGAAAAAGATTAAAGCCTTTATATTCATTTCAAGTGAGTGTAAAGTGGAACATTATTGTGTAGAAATATTTCAGAACTTGGCTGTATTTTTTCTTTTCATTGCGTGCTAAACTTGCTAACGAGATAGATATTGTCTCTCAGGTGTGGACAGTTTGAAAGCGTTTATTTTAATATTGCTGAATAAAGTTGGCCCTTTTTTTTTTCTTGCCTCTATGCAGTCCTTGCCTGGGGACACTGGCTTCTAAACACACACACAGAGCGGATGAATTGAGCAGCAGCACATCCTCTAGAGACGACAGGTAAAAACAACACAACCATTAGTTCCCCTCCTAGCATTAGCTTCCGCGTCCTCTGCTCAAAACGTTCTCATGCAAATGTTCTCTCCAGAAACCTCGGTTTTCCTGCTCTTTGTCACCCCTACACATATCCACACCTGGCAGCACAACACTGAAGATGTTTTCGGAATGTTAGCGGTTTTCTGGTAACTTCGGCGCACATTCAGTCAACGTCGGAGCAAATGTATTATGACTTTTTGGTCTACTTGAGGGTCCCCCCACCGCCGTTGACTTGAGTGCAGGGGGGGGGGGGCAGGAAGGCAGGTTTGTGTGAATTAGATGTTTAGCTGCACTGGTAGCGTTACAATGGAAGCACCTGGTGAACCGACTGAGTCACCAAAACGCTTCCTGCTCCGTTCACCGGCAACGCTGCTCTGAGCTTTGACCGGGACACCCCGCGCCCCCTCTCCGCCCGCCCGCCCGCCCGCCCCGCACGGCAGCCACCGCAGCCCGGGCGAAGCATAAGGTGCAAGAAATGATGGGACTTTAGGAGACAACGGTGCGGGCTTGCGTAATTTCTTCAAGACACCCTTGCCAGCTAAGGTCAGTCTGAGGTGATGCACAACGTTCACATGAGAGCGCTCGCTACCGCCGGGACATTACCTGGCCGTACACCTTTGGCAGAGCCGAGTCTCCAGCGCTCCGGCGGCTTCGATGCAGCGGATGGGCGCCGGAGTCCGACCCGCCTTGAGCTGCGCTACGAGCGGCCAGAGGCAGCGCTGGAGCCGCGGCGCCTCCTCCACCTCCGTCTGGTAAATCCTCATTTGCTTCTATTGTGAAAAAGCCTCTGTTTTGCGGCAGCATGTAGCGCTGCTCCGGGTGAAGACGAAGGGTCGACGAGTTTATCCCTGCAAGCCCGAGGACTAATAAATATAAGGAACACCGAAGAGAGGACAGCATCTTGCCTGCCTGTGATATCGCCATGTTTGTGTATGTTTGGCTTTTGGATTAGGTAAGACCGAAGAGCTCCTTCTACTGGCAGTGATGCCCCCGATGCTGCATTCACAAACCATGGGAATGTCCGGAACAAGCAGACTTGTCGGTTCAAAAATATGCTTCTGCTGGCTCGGTGTCAAACACAAAGGCAGTTAAGAAGCTTGCGAGGCTCCACGCCATGTCTGAGACACCAGAGGCAGAGAAAAAACAGCTCGAAAACACACACGGAAGGAAAGCAGACAAAGTCACCAAACATGATGCTATACATAAATCAATAAATATACTGCAAACCCCAAATGATTCACTCCCATGCCAAATTCTAATTTATAATATATATGTATTGTTTTGTGTTGTTGTCATTGTTGCTGTGTTTTCACCCCAAACATAAGAAAAACATATTATGATAGACGATATAGTTCCTGATAAAAATGGTGAGACTTTATTTTCTTTAGGCTAAAGGGACCTTGTCATTTGTCTCTAGAGTCATTTGCACATAATTCCAAAAAATCTGACAAGATCCTAATTTTTCCAAATATATAAAACCAGCTTCTAAAACGCCAATGGATCTCTCCAGTATTGGTTAAAGATGCTCCATAATTTAATGTATAAAAAAAAAAAAACTGTACCCTAAAATAATTCCTCAGTAGGATTTTTTAAACGTTAGTGATGAAAAGCAGCCACATTGAGTTCCTGCTCTGTCTTCCAGACCCCTTCTCCAGCAGAAAAACCTACAGAGTCTGTATATTATGTGACTATTAAGGCTTTTAAATTGGTTTTATACAGGCCTAACATAAATTATTGTATTACTGTCAGCTGTCTTATTCCTTAACCATAAACTGAACCCTGCTTATTATATTATATATATATGTTGAAATATTGCAATGCACGCTATTACATTTAATAAGGCTCCCCCAGGAACCCTTAACAACCTTTTGTCTGAACTGAGCTGTTAAAGATTCCTCCAGGAACCCCCCCAAGCAGGCAAGGATCCTTGAATATCCACAGAGTTCCTTTCTCGCCTAACTCTCAGAGAGAGATGCACTATAAACTGAGACCAGCTCCAGTCAGGTAATAGTCAATGTTTAAACCAAACAGCTTAGTGAGCTGCTGTTCAGATCAATCACTGAGACCTGGATGTGGTTTTACAGTCAGGAGACACTGCTTTCTATTGGCAGTGACCACAGAGCAAAGCATAAAAAGTACGAGGAGTTCCACACTGTGAAATATGTCAAAGGGCACAATAAGACCGTCCTGATGAATCTGAACAGTTTTGATCCCAACATCTCAGCCAGACATGACAGCAAGGAGGACTCCACTTCTGCAAGAAAGCTCAGCTTGATAAAGAAAAAGATCAATTCTGTGATCCAATGAGATGAAAATGGGATTAGTAAACAGCAAGGTAGCTATTCAGGTCTGACTCAAGTCTTGCTTTTATGACTCTCCCTGAAAACACTATTGACTTCAGCTTTGAGGTAAACACTCGATGTAATATTTAGTTTAGCAATTAATCCTGAAGGTTCCAAATTTAAGATTTTATCAACAAGAAGTAGTCAAGTTGAGCCCACTTTGAAATAAACAGTTTTATTCCACTAAACAGAGCTGTCTTGTCTGTTTGATTTGCTGTAAAACATTCACTTAAATGCATCGTTTACTTGGGTCATGGGTGTTGATAAGAAGCGACTCCAATCAGCAGACAGCAGTGATGGTGTCACGACGGTGGCTTCAGATGATGTTAAAATCGTGGCCACCTCTGGGGACGGACTGAACAGAGGCGACACAGATACTTAGCGCTCATTTGTCCAGATCATTACATGGATATATTCCCGTGCTCTCTCCATCTGCTGATCTCGATTGTGACAAGGAATTAATCCGGGCTTTCTAATTCTCTAAGCCGTGTCTGCATGTGTACAGTGAAACCCTGCAAACTGTCAGTGTGGCTCTGCAGCGTTAGACACATTTCTCCACGTGGAGCTCAATGCAGCCTACTTTATTTTCATTGATTGCTTTCTTCAGGGATTGCTTTCATAAACATCCTCTAAGACTTTCATTCTTTCCTTGCAAAACCTTTGAATTAGTTGGATATTGATTAGGCTCTCACTTCCACAGGAAAAATAAAGCTGGTCTGCGTTACAACAACACCACAGGTAGAATGTGAACCCAGGAGTATGATTTCATTACGGTAAATAAATCTGTATGAGGCTTGCTCTTAAATTTGGTTTGCTTCTTAACTATGCTGCTCTCAAAGCCAGCGTTGGCTTTAATGTGCATAATGATGAATGATCTATTTGGTTGTTTCGAATTAATCAAGTAGACAACAGCCTTTATGCTGGCATCAGCTTGTCATTATCGCATTAAATCATTTATCTTAATTTCACATTACGTCCTATCAGATGATTGAATGCAACATAATCTCTGTGGTATAATTTATACTGTGATGGGCAAACTGTATACTGTTCTCCTACTTGCTCCCAGTGTTCAAAACAAATCGTTATTTGTCTGTTCAGTTTTAGCTATTCATAATTGCTTTGTAGTCCAACATGTACCCAAACGTTCAACAACATAATAAATATAGAGAACGTATCTATAGTTATGTGTACTTTATATACAGTGGAGCAGGAGCCGACTGATGATCAGCCAATATTCAGCATTTTTCCCAATTCATTTTTAACCAATTACATACTTTAATGTAATTCATTTTAGATGTGTTACTGTGGTTCTGATGGAGACAGCTCTCTCTATCTGCTAACACTCAATGTCCAACTCACAGAATGGCTTAGTGGCTTATTAACACTGAATGATCGATGTTGACAAGCTTTTGTTTTATATAAAGATATGGAAAATAAATCCTCAAAAGCATTTCCACGGTGTTTTGTGTCTAATAATTGGTATCAGGCCTGATTTTTTTTATTTATTTTTTTTTTTTTTACAAAAGATCAACACAGTGTGGCACATCAGTGGAGCCCTAGACTGGGCTCCAGAAGTCCACACCACCAGTGAAGGAGCTTCTGTTTTGGTTGAATTTTAATACAACATGTTTCATTACAAGTTACCAGAGTGAAAAGTTAATGACTGCTGCAACCAGATGAAATGAAATGAAAAATACTTTATTTATCCCAGAAGGGAAGTTCAATATTGTAAAAGCTCACTTTTTTTTTTTAAAATCAATATAACATATATTTTATACAACAATAATAATAATAATCCTTCAGTTAGTCAATTGTCAGTCAGTCAGATTTGTTTTTCAAGGTGATGGCTGTCGGATAACCCACATTATCCCAGGATTAGGTGACAGTGTTCCAAAGTGTTTCTAATCTCATCATGAATGTTTGTCTTTCTCAATCTTCAAGAGCTCCAAGAGGGTTGAGTGGGTATATAAGACTTTTTTTTCCCATCATCCACTGAGAAATGCTGCTCTGTCTTAAGTGTTTGGCCTTGTTTCGTGGTTTAGAGACCTCTAAGATCACTGCTGTGATGGATCACTGACAGCCTTTTTCTGACAAGACTGTTGTTGAAAATGCATAAAGATTAGTCAGGGGCCTTTTTGTTGCCTTTACCAGATAGATGCAGTAGAGGTCCTGCCAACCAAGAGTACAAATGTGACTCAGCTTGTATGCATCTGATCACTGCAAATTCTGTGTCTGTGATCAAGCTGATTTTCTATCACTTAAAAACTAAAGCTTAATGTCTTTGTATATAATTTACTTTTGGTCCAGTAGCCCCTATGTGTTGTGAAGCTCCATGCACTTCTTTAGAAACCTTCAGTTTGGCCATGATGACAATGCTCATTCGTCAGCAATGTTCTTGGTGCACCGCTTTGTTTTGACAGGAGAACGGTGGCAGCAGGTTGCCTTAGTTGAACAATCCTCTGATGAGTCGATCAAATCTGAATACTGCTTTAATGGAAGGATGCAGTTCAAGGAATTCTGATGGTCAACGTGGTCACTGCCGCTGATCTGCTTCTGTTTTATTCCTCATCAAGGAACAGAGCAGAATCGGAAACATTTCTTCTTCACTTTACATGTTAGAATTTGTTGTGGTTTTAAATCTTTCTACATTTTTTTGATTATTTTGAGGTTTACGTGAAAATATGACCGATTTGCGGGCGCCCTTATAGCTCACCTGGGCGACCCATAAACAGGGCCTGTAGTTCCCTGGCGTGGTGTTCGTGAGTTCGATTCCTGCTCACGACGGTTTGCTGCAAGGTGTCTCCCCTTTCCTATCTCACTCTCTCACTGTCCTGACTAGTAAAGGCAAAAACGCCAGAAAAACAATCTTAAAAAAAAAAAAAGATTGATTTGTGTCTCCTGGAGCTCGCTGTATATATTATTATATGTAATTAAGAAACTTCTTGCTGTAGTTCATTAAGGTTAAAGCAAAGGTGTATTTATTGTGTTTGTGTAAAGGTTTGTGTCAGCACACAGATAGTATAGTATGTTGAAACCATCCTAACCAATTACATTACAAAGTGGACTTCTGTTTTATAAGGAGTCAACTCAACCAGTTGGACAGTATTTGTAACATTGGCTCATAGTTTTAGCTGAAAGGTGGAGTATTTATTTACCTTCCAGGCTCCCCCAAATGTCACAATTCGGCTAAAGGTTTGACAAATTAGGAAAACCACATTTGTTGGAGATAAAAATAAGTTTTCCAAAACTAGAAGGGAAATCAACTGATTATATTTAACTACTTATTAACTGAGTACAAACTGAATAAACAAGGTGGAAGCCAGAGGAGAGGGAGAGACTAGCTGACTGCCGCCACCAGACCATGACAGCCGGCCTCCACCGACCACGCCTCTACTGGGACAAACGTGACCGTCATGTAAGGCCCAAGTGTAACTCCTGGTATTATAAACACAAGTTTATAGTAAAGCACAGGTAAACTTGTGATCGTGATCTTATTAACCTAAGGATGTGGCAATATTTCTTCACATTTGTATCAGAGGAGATATAGGTGGTGATGTAATGTGTCAGCTGTTACTCTGCAGGAGTTGTCATCCTTTGCATGTCAGGGTGGTGCCTCCACGTTATTTTTCATATAAAATGATAAACTGGGGCAGCATGGTTGCAGTGCATCA